TGGGGTTCAGTATCTTGCTCAAGGATACTTCGACATGTGGCACCAGGAGCCGGGGATCGAACCAACAACCTTCCGATTAGGGGACGACCCGCTCTGCCTCTGAGCCACAGCCGCCCCAAAAAAGCGCTTTGAGTGGTCGGAAGACTAGAAAGTACAGGTCCATTTACCATTTGCCTATCGATATAAAAAAATATTGTCTTGCAATATTTAGTTTTGTGATATTTTCTGTGATATTGTATCGATTCTCAAAAACACTGTATTGATTGTTGTGTTTAAACTCCCAACAGTCAGACAGCAGGGTTGTAAACTGAGGGCTGTGATGTTGGATATTACAATGATTGTGATAAATACAACTACAGATCTCACTGTTCTGTTTGGAAAAAAAATATATACAGAACTAAATTAATAGCTATATAAAAACAGTTTTCCTAAAGTTAGATTTGTTTAAATCACAATAAATCGCCTTTCTTACAGTATCACAATATTGAATCGTAACCCCTTTATTGTGATATGAATCGAGCCTTTCTCAACCATATTTTAGCCAAGATCTCGGGGCTCCTGTGTCCTTTAGACGTCACCCTCTTGCAAATGAACAACCTCTGTGACTTTTCTCTCTTCGTCTTTCATATTTTCTTTCTTTTTACTGAAAGAACTACAATTTGTTTTCTCAAATCTGAAGAACAAGATTCGTAGTCCAGTGCGTCTCTACAGAACTACATTACAACATTTCACCTTTATCCAACAATTGCTGCTTCTGTGATTTGCATATTGCACTTTGTCATAGATAGATAATCTTAAGATTAATGTAAACCTGAGCCTAAACTGAGATTCCACATTATAAACCGGTCCCCTGGTTACTGAACCCTTGTTATTTGTCCACCAAACACAACATTTTACCTGCGTTTGGTGCTTGGCGGGTGTTAATCTGAACCCTGCATGAAGACATTTTCATTGATCTCTTTCTGCACGTCCAGAAACTGCGACTTTTCCAGATCTGTGAATGAATGTAAGCATAGAACTGCCAGTCTCTAGGATATATCCGCCCCGAAGGCAAATGTCTCCCACGTGCAGAAACAATAGTTCAAATCTCACGAGAGTTTTTGCAAATCTAGGTTACCACCTAGACACGACCTACCTGCAGGGGAAACAGGATATTCAGTGAAATCTATAGAATACATTCACACAACTGGAGCATGACGCACGTAACGGCAGTACGAAGTGAAGTCTCCTTCCAAGGCAGACGAGACTAATAGTGGTCTGAAGAAAATACATGAATTAAATCATGAATTCAAAATGGCTTTAATTCAAGTCATTGGGAGGAGTCGCTGCTCATCTCTCTGCAGATTGTTGTTTAAATAACTAATCAAACAGGGTTCAGTCAGATTCGAATCTTTAATCACAAACCGTTTGGGCAATCGACTGTTGAGTGTTCTCTATTCAACCTTTTTGGAAGCATCTTGATCGCTCGAGCCAAAACTCTCTTTAATTGAGTGCAGCCACAAAGCCTGTCGACTGCTCTATTTTCTCTCCGGAAAGCCATGAAAGCAAGAGATGTGTTGGCAGCTCACTGACCCGACAAGCAGCCTCAGAAAATGTGGCTGATTGTAAAAAGATTGTAGGAAAGAACAAAGAAAGAACAAAGCGGTGGTTTAAATAAGATATGTTTGAAATAAGGTCAACGTAAGCTCTGATGTGATTCTTGGAAGAAAATGGACAGTGAGATGTTTAGAAATGGCTTCCGTTACGCTGGTAGAGATGTCCCTGCAAATGTGGCATATTAGTTGTGCTGTAGTTTCCTGTTGAGGGTTTAAGAGGAGGAAGCGGAGGGGAACCACAATCGTCAGATGAATAAACCATGCTCAGGTTAATCGTTAGCTCACCAAGGTCTAAATGAGGTATTGACGAGCCTTTTTTCCTCAATGCAGTCTCTGTGCCGCTGCAGTACAAATATGGTGTTAATGCGGAAATAATAAAACATTGTCTGTGATATCTGGATGCTCTCTCTCTCCTCAACCTCCCCAACCATCCCAGTAACTCGGCTTCATATCCTTCTGCAGCAGTGACGGCCCCTTCCTAAATGACCCAGTCTCCTGGCAACCAGGCACCAATCAGCACCCAGGATCTCTCTCTGTAGTAACCACAGTGTGGGGCGTGACCAATCCCACACACAGCCAGGTAACACATGTCTCAGTACCCGGGGACATTTTTCATCTCCTCCTGTTGTTTTATGTGCAGTAACAATACAGAACCAGCACATTAAAAAAAAAAAGCTTTTATTTGTTGTATTATGTATAAAATCAGGGCTCATATTCGTCTGACTGATACAGTAAAAATACAGCTATGAAATTAAAGGTAAAACTACCATATTTCTTTTGACTTAAATCAATATTTTACAGAGAATTTTCTGCTGAATGTGCAGCTCTACTCGGCTTTATGGGGCTTTTATAGTGTGTTTCAGCTCATTATTTATCTGTTCTGGTCACAGCTTTATTGTTTTGTTTCACTCCGGCTGCTCTCATAGCATCTCTTTCTGAGAAGAAGCTATAAAAACCGCACAGTACACGACCTGCTCAGCAGCAAACCGCAGACAGTCTCGGTTATAGACGAGCTGGTGAACATAGTGGGGCATTTTAGATTACTCTGATATTTTATCATTTATTTTCTTGATGCAATGTGGAGCGATTTGATTGTCAAACATATACATTACATTGATTTTGATCATGTACTTGAAGAGCGCACTGTGCACCTGTATTACCTAGGGAAATACAGGTATAGCAGATACTCCATATTAAATGAGTAATTGGTACATCCTTTATAAAATATCAAAATAAAATCAGTATAAAAATGATATTTACAGGAAATAATCTGCTTAACATGAATCTAAATCACACATTTAACATCATTGCATCAGCTTCATTGTACAGTTCATCAGTTGTTCTCTACTGTTAGTGTTATACGTTGAATATAATATAAAATAGTCATAATATATGTCACTGAGTCCGTTTACTCAATGATAGAAAGGGAAGGAAAAAGGTTGGGAGCCACTGTGGTGGTTTACAGCTGACCAGTTGCAGCTGCTGCATTCTTGTAAGCATGCGCCACTTTTCTCACATTTCTCAGGGATAAGATAAGATAAAATAAACCTTTATTAATCCCCGCAGGGAAATTCAGGTGTCAGTGACGAGAGCGAAGCCGACAGTCAGTGTAGGAATAAAGTACTTCCCTTCAAGCTTCAGTTTGGATTTCCTCTAATGTCCTCCAAGTTTCTATTGCTGAAAGCTACGTGTTAATCTCATGTGTGTCATTTGTTTCTGGAGATAATTTAGACATGCAAATAAAAGCACCTTGAAGCCACATAGGCTCCTAGTTGAGGAATTAATTTGAAGAATGAAACACAGATATCAATGGAGCAGATTTGGGCTTAATCTACGTGACTGATCGAAATAAACAAACACTTGACGTCTGCTCTTAAAGGTCACTCCTACACTTTACTGCAAGTAGGAGGGAGCTGCTTTATAAGTGTGTCTCATTCTTCACTCTTTACTCGATTTATTTCTTCTTAAATGTGGTCCCAAACATCTCCGAGTGATGCATATTTGTTCCTACTTATAAGTGTGGGAGTAGAAAGCATTTTATCGACTTTGTTATCCTGGGAAATATCTTCTTCAGGATGTAGGAGAGCTGCAGAGCATTAACAGCACACACACTCTAGGAGGTTGAAATAGCAAACACAAGATTTTTATTTAAAACAACAAGATATATACTTTGTAGAAAAGTATTTCTGCCTTAGTTATATTTATATATCCCAAAAGCTTGTTAGAAGTGGAAATTATACCAGGCATTTTTCACAAATTGTCTTACTATTTATATGATCAGCAAATGGTAATCGATAATGAAACTAAATGTTATTTGCAGCCCTGAATGAGTCTGTACTCAGGTTTAAATGGAGCTTTCCTTTCAAGGACTTTCCGTACAATTGCTACCAAATTATAGAAATATTTCCAGAAAACTTTCTGAAGAATTATCAACCCGTGAAATAAAAACCAACCCATCACTGGAAGTCCAATCAACTGGCGTCAGTCATTTAGATTACAGTGTAATTTGTGTAACTTTATCTGGATCAGTCTTCTGAATGTGTCGATTTCACACACCATAACTGCTGAGAAGAACTACAAGACGCCATCATTAATTTCATTTTATGGTTCTGGGTGTCATAAAACTGCGATGTTCTCTCCCAAAGGACCTGCACTTCTTTGTGTTTTTGCTTCATGTGTACTTTCACTTTCATTGTGACTTTTAGGAGTTGGTCTGACTGTGAATGTCTGTCTCTCCCACTCCATCCGGTCTCTGATTGACTTTATTATTGCACGTATTCTCTCTTTGTGGTTGATGTGACGGTGATAACACCTCTCTGTTTCCCATGTAGGTGTTTGGTGCACCCATGGGTCCGGGTGAGAGCTCCGGCGGTCACATGATGCCTGGTGGCGGCCCTGGTATGGGTCCTGGCATGGGCTCCCAGTTCATGGGCCAGCAGTCGTATGGAGAGGCTGTCTCTAAAGGTTACGGGCAGCCAATCATGTACGGACGTCCCAGTGCGGCGTACAACCCAGCCTCAGCCTACGGCGGAAGGTAAATCCTGTTCACTTCACAGCTGGTATTAAAATGTGATCTGTATCCGGATAATTAACGAGCAAAACCTGCATGTGAGTGATTCTGAGTGGCGAAGAATTCAGAATCAGACTCCCTTAAAATAATCACTGAGTTTGTGAGTTGTTGAGTTAGGGAAAACTTTATTAACTCCAGAAATGCTGTCTACAACAAATTCTAAATTAAAGAACTTACACATACAAACTCACCTGTTACAACAAACAACACGCTGCCTCTTGAAATCTTCTTTCCCTCCGTGCCTTTGAATAAGATCAGTGGAAGCTATTTACAGCAACTGATGTCTAAGAGCTGACAAACACAATTAACACCTATTTAGCTAAAAATGTTGTTTCCTGTTCCTTTAACACGGAGCAGCTTGTGTGTAAGGAACGTTATTGTCGATGCTGATAACTGAACGTTGTTGTGTATTTTTGTGCAGCACTAATGTTTTTATTTCGTGCTATTTCTGCTTGGTTTCACATCAACATATGTCAGCGTGGCTGCTCTCACCCACTGCTCTGACTCACGCTCATGACTACACCTCACACACTCATACGCTCGGTTCATTGGGTTCGCTGCCCACTCATCTCCCCGTCTTTCCCCTGCAGTTACTCTGGTAACGGTGGAGGTGCCGGTATGGGCGTCCGTCCTCCCTCAGACTTCACGCAGGCTGCTGCCGCTGCCGTTGCCGCCGCCGCTGCCACAGCAACTGCCACTGCCACGGCAACTGTTGCAGCCATACAGGAGAAACAGAACCAGGAGTTGAGCTATGGACAGGTAAATGTGTGTCAGTGCCTGGGATCTGCTCTGTCATGTCTTTTGGCTTTTGGATCCAGTGCATTTGCATGTCAGTTTCCAAGCAGATTAATGGGTTTTAAACCTGTTGCAGCACTTTTCCATTATTTTGTTAAACATCACGCTCAGCATGTCTTTAGTTTACCTCTCTAGTTACAACTCAGGCTGGCGTGTATTGAGCCCTTCAGAGTAAAATCCTGGTCCTAAATGCGTCAGATTGGCATGATACTGCTCTAATTCTTAGACTAAAGAATAAATCACATTTAAATTTAGTTAAAATTTACGTTTAGCCTATTTGTAAAAAAGCCTTTTATTCCTCCTTTAAACTAAGCTTATTGACTCATGACTCAAAGTTTAAGATATTTCTGTAGTCCAGTGATTCCAACCTGGGGGTCGCGAAGACTTCTTGATTTTAAAGGGTGTGAGAAAACTTTAATACACACAGTAGGCCTATATTTAATCACTCTCTGATAAACAGCCTCGTGCTGCATTAGAAAACAACCAAAGAGCTGAAAGAACAGTGAGAAGAAAACGCCCAATTTGTCAAAAAGAAACCTATTAAGTTTGTTTGTTTGTTAAAAGCTCAAAAAATATGTATTACAGACAGAGAATCGTAGAAAAAGTTCAGTTCTGATCAACATTCACAGGAAATAATCTGCTCAAAATTCATCCAAATCTTCCATTTTAAACCAACTCCATCAGTGAGGGGTTGCCGGTTTCCTCACTGGTAGAATGGAGGTCCCTTAAGGAACAAGGATGGGAACTGCTGCTGCGGAGCGTTTTTGCAGTTTTTACAAACACCGTCTGGTTTGGAGCTGTGATGTGTGGTTGCAGGACTGTGGGAGGGGGGTGCAAAGCAGAAGCTGGTTTTCTGCTGCTGACACAGATTCAAGACACATGTCTCTTATTAACAGCAGAGACATCACATAATTTTACACTGCTGTCTTTTGCCAGACTATTTACTCTCATAGACTTTATTTACAACATTAGAGTCGCTGTAGAAGCTTAGCAGCAAACACTGCCATGATTTCTGTAGAAGATTCCTGGTTCCAGTTCAAAATGAACAAGGTAAATAAAGGCTGTATAACATCATAAATCACGGTGTACAGAACTTCTTCATGCTGACACTCTTTAGATTTACTACTTAGTTCTGGGGCCGTATTCAGGAGGAAAATCCGTCCTAACTGGCCAAACTTTTTGGTCCTGTTTGGTCCTGCTTTTAAACCGAGGAGTAAAGAGCATTTTTATCTATAATGCAGGGAATGACTCCTGTCTTTAGGAGGTTTACAGATGTGTTAGGAATAGTCAGGAGATGGTGTTCAAGCAGAGACATTCAGTGGGTTAGGGTGCTGTTCATTGATGATTAATGGTAAAAACAAAACAAACAAAAACAAATTACAGTGGGAGTAATATTCTGAGAGAAGAATTTCCTAGATTTAAATCGTAAATTTACAAGGAAAAAAAATCGAATTCTTTGAGATTAAAGTCACAAGTTTACGAGGACAAAACTCAGAAAAATTGTGTTTCTTTTTGTCAAGGAATCACTTGACACTCACTTCACAAGGTTGTATCAACCTCGTCACACCACAGACGCCGTAGCTTGCTGTGCTTTATGCCTGCAGTGGATGACATTATCAAATTATACTTTGAAATTGGATTTAGTAATAAGAAAATACTTCTGAATTTATCCCCGGAATCAGCATTTTCTCAGAATATTCCCTCCCTCTCCTCGGCTCTGTACTTGTTGTTTCTACCCACAGTGGCCCCAATACACTGTCATAATAACAACAAACAGTTTGAAATAATAAATCACACTCCACAGATAAAGTGCAGATTATTTAATTTCTAAACCACTCAGAGGAAAGTTAACAAAAACACAAGCTGCATTCATGGAAAGATTTATTTGAATTACTCATTCGTTCTTGTTTTTATTATATTAGTAATATTTATGAGTATTTCCAAACAGTGGGTGACATTACTGACATTAATTCATTGTACACCAGCTGTAAGGAGTCTGCATTTAGAGGTTTAGTTAAGACGTTTTCAGTTGAAATATACCCACAGTCTGTTTGCAACATCATAACTGTGTGTACAATATGGCACAATACAGGCAGTGTGGAACAATGTGACTGAATGAAGCTAGATCATACGGCTTAATTAAATCAGCTGCTATTTAAAATGTGCATACATTTTATTTTTATATTTACTTGCTGCTTATAACCCAATTTTGGCCTCATATTTTAACCTAAAGGCCTAGTATGACCCACATTCATAAAGCCTACATTTAGAAAAGTGGTGATATTTTCTGTATTTTAAATGTTCAAACCACAATTTAAAGAAAACATCATCAGCATTATTATAATATCTCCTTCTTTTGAGTCCCAGTTCAGCTTTCAGTGGGATTCTGAGACTCTTGATAAATCCAGGTCCCGGACTCATTTTCTTGCCGTCACTGTTCGCACCCTGTGAACCCTTCCTGAACTCTCTGCTGTCGTACTTCCCTTTCCCTCCCCAGATGGGTGGAGCATCCTCTTACAGCACCCAGTTCCTGTCTCATTCGGGCCCCCGCGGCCCTCCTCCGGGGATGGTCTCGTCCAGGCCCGGTCCTCCACCTACCGCCGGAGGCCTGTACCCCTCTCACCCTGCCCAGACTCAGAAGATGCCCCAGCACGGAGGGTATCCGGGCGGACAGCAAGGGCTCAAAAGGCCTTTTCATTCGGAGGTCAGTGAGACACCAGTGGATGTTTGTTCCCTCGTTTAATATAATATCAGATTATTCCCCCTCCTCAGAAGCAAACACACTGCTCATATTCTCTATATATAATACTTTCATCTCTTTGATTTTACATACATTTCTACAAACTCTGCTTTGTAACGCTGAGCTTGTGTAAAACATAGCAGAGGTAGAAACTGCAGACAGAGCAGATATCACTTCTCCTCAGGTTTACATGGTTTTACTTGTTGAACAGTGTATTGATAAAGTGTGACTCTTTATGGTTTTATTGCACTTACTTCCTGTAACGGGTCAAGTTGTTGTCAGCTTGAGTAGTTAACAAACTTTTCCACTGCAGATTGTGATCAGCTGTCTGCTCTGTTTGTCAGACAGTGTAGAGGTGCAACACCTAGCAACAACATACATTAGTCAGCACAGAGATTAGGTGAGTCAGTGTTTTGTGGTTCTTAGATGTCAGAACAGTTCATTAACTCGTTCTGTCTCTGTTTGTTTTCCAGGGTTTTCCAGTGCAGCAGTACGGCTCTGGTGGGATGTCAGGGTACCCTAACCAGCCTCTCCAGTACCCCTCTGGTCCACAGCAGCGATGCCCCCCCTCACCCTCTTACCCCTCCAGTCGGATGCCCCTCATGGCACAGTACACTTCTGGATCTCACAACCCAGCACAGTTCCCCCCCGGAGCCGGCCAGCCCAATCCTCCACAGTATTATAAGGTAATGAAATGAATTGCTAGGTGCCCTAATTTGGATAATAACAAACATAAAGTCATCAAACACAATGATTTAAAGTTTACTGGAGAACACGAGGAGCAGCATCTCAGACCAAAACAAATCTGTACCACTACCCACCAGACTCTGTTGACAAAACCAGTCATTTCACCAGCGGGAAATAATCATAAAACACACTTTAAACTGGACAGAAACGAAATAAAACTTTCACTTCCACAGTCTTTTCAGCAATCGCAACTACAGGCCTGGTTAAAATAGACCCTTAATCCACAACGTAATCCTTGGGGACAAATGCGCCTGTTAAAGTGCGTCCACTAACAGTAGTTGTTGTTTGTTCCACTAACAGTAGTTGTTGTTTGTTCCACTAACAGTAGTTGTTGTTTGTTCCACTAACAGTAGT